TCTGTTAGATATTATCATAAATAAAATGTCTCAAGTAACATTTTATCTGAAGATGACATTTTGAAATACTAACATATGAATAAATTATTTTAGTAATTCTTTTGATAATTTTTATTTTGTTTTTGTCATTGATGTACTTATGTTATCTTTGCATATAAAATATACATACATATTTATATAAATTTAAATGTATTTTTGTTATAACCAATAAAAAAGCAATTTTTATGAAATTTTAAACATTTTGTTCTTCCAAATGATGATCTAAATATCCTGCATCAAAATTATTTTTAGTTTTTCTGAAAATTTACACCTTAAAAACCTTTCCGAAAAGTTCTTTACCAATCTCTAGCACTTTCCATTCAAAAGTTATGAACCAATGTCCATGAAAACAGCTGTTTTGCTCACAGTGCAACTTCGATATATTTCAAAAAAAGTTTTAGAGTAAGTCATTAAAATTGATATACAGAAAAGTTGTACAAATTATAAAAAAGTTTTAGAGAAAGTCATTAAAATTGACAGAAAAGTTGTACAAATTATAAAAAATAAAAGTTAAGAGAGTAAAATTAAAAGATAATTAAAATTGAAAATTTAAAGAATAATAAGACAGTACAAGAAATGAGCTTCAAAATAAAATACTAATTAAAAATTTGAAGAATAATAAGACAAGTGGTACAAGAATAAAATGCTTAAGTATCTTTTTTTAAAGACTATTTCAGATTAAAAAAAAAATTAAAGCAAAAAATAATGGTAAAGTTGTATCAAGTATTTTCAATATTGGTGAAATTATTGCAATTAATAAAAATGCATGTTACTAAGTTGCAACTTATTGTAACAATAAAAAAATATAATTGAAACAAATGTTGGTATATGTTAAAATATATTTCTAATATTTAATATATGAAGGATTAAACAAGTCAAAAATGCATCACTTGGTGTTTGTATAAATAAAGATTGGCATCTGATTGTATGCAAATGATGTCTTTGAAATTGATATAAATGTGCAAAGATTACAAAAGAAACTAGCTGTCTGAACCTGTATTAATAAAAATGGGTCTTGGTAATCATTTTTATTCCAATATTTTTTATCCTATTATTTTTTACTCCAATATTTTATAGTAAGCAGTAGAAAAATAATATTTAGAAAAGAAAATAATAAAATATATTTATATTTATTTAGAAAAGAAAATATACTATGCATATTATCTACCTTTTAAAGTTATGAAAAAAAAATTTTATATTACAATTATTTATCAGTAGTTTGTATATTAATTCCAGTCTAAATAATATTTAGAACACATGCTTGCAATGTGTTGATTAATTAAAATTGGTATAAAAAATTTAAAAAGCATGTGAAAATAAACTTAAAAATATGTGGAATAATGGACTTATCATTACCCATATAATGCGTGTCATGGTAGATCTATTTCACACCAATTGTTTCTATACTTAATGTATATTAAGTATAGAAAAAATGATTATACAATCATTTTAATTCAATAATTTCTATACTTAATGTATATTAAGTATAGAAAAAATGATTATACAATCATTTTAATAATTTCTAGTAAGCGATAGAAAATAAAACATCTTTAAAAACTTTCTTTTAAGTTATTAATGTTCAATACCTTATAACATTCTTTGTTTTAACTTCTTATTATTATTAATGTTCAATACCTTATAACTTCTTATTATTATTAATGTTCAATACCTTATAACTTCTTATTATTATTAATGTTCAATACCTTATAACTTCTTATTATAAAATTGTAAAAAAAAAAGGGAAGGACTTATTAATTTTTTTCTTTATTAAGTTTTTATTAGATTTTTAATAATTTTTTTTTCCAGACTATTTGCAGCTTATTAGGTACCTTGCCCCGTTAATTAATTTTGAAGAAAATAAAAGTTTGAATGTAAAATCTTTTTTCCTATAAAAAATGTGTGTTGCAGAGTTAACTAATTACTAAGTAAGTTAATAACAACAATTAATAAAAAAATTTCTCCTGCTGTTTTGATGTTTATAGAAGTTTTGAGCTATTTTAAAATATTCTCTCTTTAGTTTGTTATATTATATAATATCTTTATATGATGCAATGTTTTTAAAAATTCTCTCTCTTTAGTTTGTTATATTATATAACATCTTTATATATGTAATGTTTTTTAAAAATTCTCTCCCTTTAGTTTGTTATATTATATAATATCTTTATATGATGTAATGTATTTCAAAAATTCTCTCCCTTTAGTTTGTTATATTATATAATATCTTTATATATGTTATGTAAAATAATATTATATAATATCTTTATGTTTGTTATATTATATAATATCTTTATATATGTTATATAAAAATGTTTATGCAAGCAACAGGATTTGAACCCAGCATGCTTTGCGCTTGAAAGGCATACTTATTATACAGATTTTAACACTATTTAATAAATAAAATGTTCAAAAGACGTTCATAAAAATGTCCAAAACGTGTATAAGATGTTTAAAAGACATCTTT